TGTGGATAGCCCCAAAGTAGTTCATTCATGTATGTATGAAATGATCATTTACCTGTTATATGAAAAAGTGAGAAAATGCTGAATTTTCTTTGATTGAGAAATATGACCTTAACAGAAACAAAGAGATGAGATTAGTTCTTCAGGGTTCTAAATTCATTTTTCTCTCTATCAAAGAGAGAGAAATCTAAGGTTCAGAATTTAGGAGGGATAAAAATGTATTGTTGAAGAGCTTAAGATTTTTAGATGAGAGCAGAAAGAAATAGAAAATGAGCAGATACAGCAGTGGGTAATGATATCAATGGAGGGCCTTTGCAGTTTCCTCTTTTCTGAAAGCTGCTTTTCTCTGTGTGTCTGGGATAAGAATACATAGTAGCTCTGCGAGTTTGCTTCTTCTGTGATCTGACTGACTTAGCACCCATATCTTATAGACCAGAGGGATCAATCTCTCCTGCATCCGGACCTGCGTGGTGGTAGCAGAGGAGCGGCCCCGCATTGCCCTCCAGCAGTCCTTCTCCAAGCTCTTCAAGGACATTGGGCTATCCCCTCGGGCTGTCAGCACCACTTTTGGATCAAGAGTCAATGTGGCAATATGTTTACAGGTGACTCTCCTGAATCTTGTTTGCTCACAACTTAGGAGTTTGGAATACCCCAGCACGTGGCTTCCAAGTCCAGGCTACTTAGGCTTGAAGCCCCACTCCACTCACTTATTACGGGACTTGGGCTTTTTATTTGATTTCTCTTGTGTCGCATTTTGCTCAGCAGTAGAGGGAAGATGGTGGTACTATACTTTGTAGGGTCATTCTGTAGAATCACTTGTTTGTTAGGTCCCAGTGCCCGGAGCAGTCAGTGCTGGAAGTAAGTGCCAACGTCAATGTTTACTTAGTCATCGCTATGTGGTCCATGATGATGAGTCAGAAAGATTTCCTGAGCCCTGTTTGCATTTTATTTGTACGTGACCTTGTTTTTCTGTGTTCTCCATTTAAAATTTTTTTCTTTTTTTTTTTTTTGCAAACAAAGCACAGATATGCCTGTATTCTCTCACCCAGCCAAATGGCATCTTTGCCATGTTATTCCTAGTGAGTTAACAGAATAGCAGATAAGGGACTAGAACTGAGTCTGATTTTACATAGCTTGGACACTGGTAAGAAAAATACAGGTATGGATGAGAATGAGAGAAGGTAGCACACACGTGTGGATGCTTTCAGCTCTCTTGAGGTCAGGGGACTTTCAAGAAGTATAATTTGAGGCTTGGCGCCTGTGGCTGAAGTGGCTAAGGTGCCAGCCACATACACCTAAGGTGGCGGGTTCAAATCCAGCCCGGGCCCGCCAAACAACAGTAATGGCTACAACCAAAAAATAGCTGGGCGTTGTGG